AATATTGGAAGCTGTGCCAGTGGCAGTAACCACCCAGGCACAAGCAAAACAAGAACAAAAAAATGATGAAAACAACCAGGAAGGGTTGCTATTATTACAGGACATTCAGACAAAAGTTGAGTTGGTACAGCAATAGATTGTAGAATGCCCCTCAAAGTGGCAGGGCATTCAGTTGAAAAAAGAACAAAGCTTAATTATGGCAAAACCAAACAATTAATGGGTTTTAGCAATCTTAGCAAATGCAACACCTCCCTTTGGGATGGATACATGGTTCTGTTGTGGGGGGACATCTGAAATTCGAAGAGGCATTGGAGAAACTTAAAAAGATGAGCTGGTGGCCTGGAATGAAAGAGGATTTGAATGTCCATATTCATACTTGTTTAACATGTGCAAAACAAGACCTTGCTAGAAGGAAAAGGCAAGGAGAATTAATGCATCAGGCTTTAAAGGGTCCCTTACAGCGCTTGCAGGTGGTTTTTGTGGGACCTTTGCCCACCACACCTAGGAAGAATAGTTTTATGTTTGTAATTGTAGATAGCTTCAGGAAATGGGTGGAAAGAGAGTAGTCTGGTAGCTGCAAAAGTGTTGTTAATAGAAATCTTTCCTAAATGGAGTTTACCACACAGTATTGACTCTGATAATGGGCCAGCTTTCATCAGACAAATGTACCAAAGTGAGGGTACATGGGCTGGTATTCCCCTACCGTTACACATCCCCTTCCACCCTCAAGCTGGAGGGCAGATGGAAAGAATGAACAAGTCCCATAAAATTGAATTATCCAAACTGTGCAATGAATTGGGAACAAACTGGGACATGGTGCTCCTATTGTATTTTAAATCTTGGCCAGAACATTTACATTTCCCAAAGGAGTCACTCCTCTCTCCTTTAGAATCACAGTTAAAGTAACAGTGAAATCTTTGCTGATCTTAAACGCAAAAAAGAAGCTTACAAGAAGTGCAAGATTGGACAAATGACCAGGGAGGAGTATAAAAATATTGCTCAGACATGCAGAAGTGAAATCAGGAAGGCCAAATCACACTTGGAGTTACAGCTAGCAAGAGATATTAAGAGTAACAAGAAAGGTTTCTTCAGGTATGTTAGCAACAAGAAGAAAGTCAAGGAAAGTGGGGGCCCCTTACTGAATGAGAGAGGCAACCTAGTGACAGAGGATGTGGAAAAAGCTAATGTACTCAATGCTTTTTTTGCATCTGTCTTCACAAACAAGATCAGCCCCCAGACTGCTGCACTGGGCAGCACAGCCTGGGGAGGAGGTGACCAGCCCTTTGTGGAGAAAGAAGTGGTTTGGGACTATTTAGAAAAACTGGACGAGCACAAGTCCATGGGGCCGGCTGCGCTGCATCCAAGGATGCTAAAGGAGTTGGCGGATGTGATTGCAGAGCCATTGGCCATTAACTTTGAAAACTCATGGCGATCGGGGGAGGTCCCGGATGACTGGAAAAAGGCTAATGTAGTGCCCATCTTTAAAAAAGGGAAGGAGGAGGATCCGGGGGACTACAGGCCAGTCAGCCTCACCTCAGTCCCTGGAAAAATCATGGAGCAGGTCCTCAAGGAATCAATTCTGAACAGGTCCTCAAGGAATCAATTCTGAAGCATTTAGAGGAGAGGAAAGTGATCAGGAACAGTCAGCATGGATTCACCAAGGGCAAGTTATGCCTGACTAACCTAATTGCCTTCTATGAGGAGATAATTGGCTCTGTGGATGAGGGGAAAGCAGTGGATGTGTTATTCCTTGACTTTAGCAAAGCTTTTGATATGGTCTCCCACAGTATTCTTGCCAGCAAGTTAAAGAAGTATGGCTGGATGAATGGACTATAAGGTGGATAGAAAGCTGGCTAGATCGTCGGGCTCAACGGGTAGTGATCAACGGCTCCATGTCTAGTTGGCACCTGGTTTCAAGTGGAGTGCCCCAAGGGTCGGTCCTGGGGCCAGTTTTGTTCAATATCTTCATTAATGATCTGGAGGATGGCGTGGACTGCACTCTCAGCAAGTTTGCAGATGACACTAAACTGGGAGGAGTGGTAGATACGCTGGAGGGTAGGGATAGGATACAGAGGGACCTAGACAAATTAGAGGATTGGGCCAAAAGAAACCTGATGAGGTTCAACAAGGAAAAGTGCAGAGTCCTGCACTTAGGACGGAAGAATCCCATTCACTGTTACAAACTAGGGACCGAATGGCTAGGAAGCAGTTCTGCAGAAAAGGACCTAGGGGTTACAGTGGATGAGAAGCTGGATATGAGTCGACAGTGTGCCCTTGTTGCCAAGAAGGCTAACGGCATTTTGGGCTGTATAAGTAGGGGCATTGCTAGCAGATTGAGGGACGTGATTATTCCCCTCTATTCGACATTGGTGAGGCCTCATCTGGAGTACTGTGTCCAGTTTTGGGCCCCACACTACAAGAAGGATGTGGAAAAATTGGAAAGAGTCCAGCGGAGGGCAACAAAAATGATTAGGGGCCTGGAGCACATGACATATGAGGAGAGGCTGAGGGAACGGGGATTGTTTAGTCTGCAGAAGAGAAGAATGAGGGGGGATTTTGTAGTTGCTTTCAACTACCTGAAAGGGGGTTCCAAAGAGGATGGATCTAGACTGTTCTCAGTGGTAGCAGATGACAGAACCAGGAGTAATGGTCTCAAGTTGCAGTGGGGGAGGTTTAGGTTGGATATTAGGAAAAACTTTTTCACGAAGAGGGTGGTGAAGCACTGGAATGGGTTACCTAGGGAGGTGGTGGAATCTTCTTCCTTAGAGGTTTTTAAGGTCTGGCTTGACAAAGCCCTGGCTGGGATGATTTAGTTGGGGATTGGTCCTGCTTTGAGCAGGGGGTTGGACTAGATGACCTCCTGAGGTCCCTTCCAACCCTAATATTCTATGATTCTATCATTCTAACTGCAGTGTAACAAACATACAACCCCCGTGTTGCCAAGTCTTATGGTTTCATTGGTAGCCTCGCGAGACCTGGTGTTTTTCCTAACTCCCCTCTTCACCCCTGGAATCCAGAGATTGTGTGAGAGCCCAGTTTTCATTTGAAAAATGGAAGGTTCAAGATCACATGGTTGCAGGGACCCACTTGAAAACATGACCACACGTGCACCTCTTAGAGAAATGAGACAAGTCAAACGAATCCAGCATTTATTAGAGTTTTAGATCCTGTGCCTTTTTTGCAGCCTGACTCGTGCTTTTTAGGGTTCCTACTTTTGGTTGGACATAGGGTGACCAGATCACCCAAGTCAAATATCGGGACACGGGGGGGGGGGGGGCGGGGGGGGGGGGGGCAGGGCAAAAAAAAAACCACACACACACACCCTTCCTCCACAAGCGCTGGAGGGAGGCCCGGGAGACGCAGGGGAAGCTCGGGGCTGGGGTGAGTGAGAGTCCGGCCTGGCCCCAGTGCAGGCAGGACTCAGTCGGGCGGTAGGGAGAATAGGGGGGCAGCCCGCAGGGCCAGGCGGCGGCTGTTCTCCCCCCCGGGCAGCGGGACTCGGGAGCAGCCGCTGCTGCAGCTCCCACTGCCGCGGGGGGAGGAAGCGGCCGATGGCCAAGCTGGGCAGCTGCGGCTCTGGCGCCTGGGCCTGAACCCCCCGAGCCTGGGCCTGCTGCGGGGACCTAGCAGCGCGCACGCTGCGCCCAGCCCCTGGCCAGTCGCGTCTGGGCAGCTGCCCAGCTGGTGCAATCCCGTGGCGGCCCCGGAGTGGGGGCAGCAGGCCCCAGCCCCCCCGTCCCCCTCGGGTCCCGCAGGGGAACTGGACTGCCGATGCCTCCCCCCGCGGCAGTGGGAGCTGCAGCAGCGGCTTCTCCCAAGTTCCGCTGCCCGGGGGGGAGAACAGCCGCCGCCTGGCCCCGCGGGCCGCCCCCTACTCTCCCTACCGCCTGACTGAGTCCTGCCTGCACTGGGGCCAGGCCGGACTCTCACTCACCCCGGCCCGGTGCTTTCCCTGCGTCTCCCGGGCCTCCCTCCACAAGCGCTGGAGGGAGGAGGAATGGCGAGCCTGGGGAAGAGGCGGGGATTCGGGGAGGGAGCCAATGGGGGAAGGAGGGGATGGAGGCGGGGCGGGCGGGGGGGCGCGAGCACTTCCGAGCTCCAGAGTATTTGCTTGTTTGTCCTGTGTCCCGACCTAACATTGGTCGGGACAAACAAGGAAATATCGGGACAGTCCCGATAAAATCGGGACGTCTGGTCACCCTAGTTGGACGTATTCCTGGAGGTTTCTTCACATGACATAATCTTTAATTAGATTAATCTTTCATTCCTGGAGACTCCAGGCCAATCTTGAAGGGTTGGCAACCCTGTTTTTTGACCCCTGGGGATGTGGAATCCTGCATGTCTTCATCCAGCAGGTTCACTGAGCTGCATGGCCTCAATGTGGTTCCTCCAAACAATTGAATCCTCTCTTTGTATGGCAGAACCGCTCTCTGGCTGGCAAGGGGGCAGGTGGGCTCCTGAGCTGACTCAGGGCCACCCCCAGGCGGTGCCAAGAAATTGTTAGCTGTTCACACAGCCCCCTTCGGATGCACAGCACCAGATTTAGACTAATAGATCACAGACTGAACCATCCCTGACCAGGCTGAGCGCCAACAGTGCCAGGGCCCAGGCACACCGGCACCCAGATGGCCACGCCCAGCGCCACTGGTTGCAACCACCCGCCCCGTGCCCTCGCCCAGTCAAAGGAGAAGCACTGGGAGCGTCTGTGAGGCCTTGCCTATGAGTCAGGCATGACTCTCCCCGGCCACCAAAGGGGAGGGGCTGGCTGATGTTCCAGCTGCCCCCTCCTCACCCAGCACTAGTGCCTGAGCTTGCCCCTCCTGGCTGGGTGATGCCAGGTTTGCCCCTGGGAGTGGGTTGGCTTCCTCTCTGGCATGGTCAGACCTGCTCCTTCGCAGCTCAGCCTTAACTGGCCTGGGTGCTGAGATGCCCCCATGCCATGCCACCCTCCCCATTTCTGGCCCAGAATGGGCAGCTCCCCCGCCCCCCACCAGAAATCTCTGTGTCAGTGGAACAGCCCTCACCCCAGACCATGCAAAGGTCGTGGCCGCGTCTCCAACCACATCTCCTGCCCCAGAAGGACTGAGGCCCGCACTGGGAACATTCCAAACCAGGGCTGGGCAAAGCCCCCCAAGGATGGACAAAGGGCCCAATCCTGCCGTGGCCCTAGGAGGGCTACTTGGTATCTGAGTCACTGCTCGGGGCCCTGAGTTCCCCTGTAGGGACAGGCGGGGAATGGGAGAGGGCAGCCGGACGGCAACTGGCGGGGGCTGGGGGTGGCTACAAGAACAGGGTGTGGTAGGAGCTGTGGACGGATGCTGCCCCATGTCTGGCACATAGCTGGGGAGCTGGTACTTTAGGGGCAGTGATCCACACGCAGAGCTGATCAGCTGTGGGGACTGAGCAGCGTCCCCCTCCCCTTGCCAGGGGGCGGCAGCTGCCGAGCCCCCCGTCACACTGCACCGTGAAGGCTGGCTGGGGCATGACCTCCTCCGGTGCCACTACTCCGCCCTCCCGTGCAGAAGAAGACTCCTACGGCCAAGGCTGCCAGGGCGATGGCTCCCAAGGTGATGCCCAGAGCCAGAAGGGTGTGCGAGCGCCTTTGCTGTCTTTCTGCAAGACAAGAGGAACGGGCTCAGAGCCGGGCTTCGCTCTCAGGGGCCACGCGCGGTGGGCACCGGGCCTGGTGCATGAGACTGATCCAGGTTCCATTCCCATGTTCCCTCCATTTCCCCTGGGCTGGGGGCCCAAAGGGAGCCACTGCCAGTGTCGTAGGGGGTTTGTATTCCTGCTGCTGGGCAGAGGGTCCTAGTGCCAGCATGGGCTGGCGCAGGGATTGCTGGGCTACAGTGCCCTCCCTACGCAGCACCCCTGGTAAACCCAAGCCTGGTGGTCCCCCCTCACGTACCGATCCTGGCGCCATCCATCTTGCTGTGCCGCCTCACGAACTCCACACACGTCGTACCCAGGAAGGACTGCAGCTCGGAGGTGGTCTGTGGGTACCTGCTCACCTGGGCATGGGTGAATGTGGCCAGCTTGTCGTCCTCCTTGTTTCCCGGTAGTGCCCAGCTGGCATTGGCCGCCCGGAAGCTCAGGAAGTCGTCTCCGTTGAGTGCCACCTCGTAGAAGCTGTGGGAGGCGCCATCAGGGGACAGCTGGCAGCCCAGCTTGCAGCGCAAGTGCAGGGGGTCTGTGAGGGGGCAGAGCTGGAGGGGTCAGGAGGGCACATGGAAGGAGGGGTCATGGGGGAGCACCCCAACCCCTCCTTGTTTTGCCAGAGCAACCCTCGGGCAGATGGGGGGCAGTCAGCAGCACCCTCCTCACTGCTATCTGCTCCCTGGGCTCAGCCCCATCTCCCCATTTCCTCACTTCTTTCCCCTGATCCCACCCCCACTCCCTTTGCGCTCCCCAGATCTGTCCCTCACGCAATCTCCTTTACCCTTTTTCTCTCCCTTGACCTGATCCCTCTACCCTCCTCCTTCCCTTCTCATTCCCCACTGCCATCCCCACGCCCCCATACCTACTCTCTCTGCTTCCCTACCCCAGCCGGTGCCACACACTGCCAGGTAACTGATGTGTCTCTGTTCCCCTTTCGTGATACTCTCAGAGTTCCCGGGAAAGCTGGGTGGCAGCTACCATTTTGTTCGCCGAGTGGGCGCAGTCTGGAGCCAGGAGACGCACACAGCACTCGCTCACAGAGACTTGACTCTGGGCCACCTGGCTGTTTCCTTTTGGCCAAGATCTAAGTCACTGCTGTTGATAGGCTATGGCAGCCCCTGGGGGGCTGAGCAGGGAATAGGGCCAAGCTGAAAATTGTGGCAAAGAATCTGGTTCAATCTGAACCAAAACCAATTTGCTTGTGGAATCAAACAATGCAGGGGAAAAGATTGTTTCAAAAGGGATTGAGTTGGCTCGAAACCAATGCATTTTTCAACCAAAAACAATTAGTTGAAAAACATTTGCCTAGCAATCCTGGTAAAGCATAACACCCTCGCCCCCGCTGCACCTCCCTGTCCTCACGTTACACACAGCACCCGGGAGGTGGGGGCAGCGCAGCACCCTGCCTGGCTGACCCATCTATGGGTGGCAAACACCATGCATGCCCCCCTGTGCCATCCAGCTGATGCAAACGCTGTTTCTTCCACTTTGCTGCCACCCCCCAAGCCATGTCACCAGCGCCAGGTGTCAGAGGGGCCCATGTCCCCAGCGCCGCTCCCGCTCTGGTACTCACACTGCACCTGCCTCTCCTTGGTGATCACCTGCACAAAGGCATGGAAGGTCTTTAAGTAAGTCTGCAGGCTGCGCTCCATCTTCTGCCACTGTGCCGGGGGCTCCAGCGGGAGCAGCTGGCTGGCATTGAAGCCCTGCAGGCTGTGGGCCAGTACCCCGTTCAGAGTGGCATTCCCCCAAAATTCAATGGTGCTGTTGTTCGGGAGGTGGGCGAGCTGAATCATGGTGAAGGTGTGCAGGGCTGGGAGGGACAGACACCCAGAGAATCAGAGAGTCGGAGGGCACTGGGCCAACCACATCTCCCGGACAGCTGACTTTGGGCTTCCTACCACACAAAGCCCTCCCTTCCAGAGGGCATTCCTCCATCACTGCAGCAAGCCCCCAGCCTCACCTGCTGGCGCACTGGCCAGCTGCTCGGGCTCGCCCGCACTCAGCCATGCATGGGAAAGAAAAGCCCGCAGGTAATTCCTGCAGGAGGGCTCAGCAGATGCTGGGATTTCCCTGCCTTGCTTCACTCATTGCGGGGTTTCCCTGCCCACCTCCCCCCTCAGGGGATCCTGTTCCCCTTCTCCCCCCGACCCCAGCACTGCCAGTCCCTCAGTCATGCTAGCACCGCTGGTATCTCCTTGCGAGAGCCATTTCAGACTGGCCGGCACCAGCCTTTCCGGTGGTGCTTCGAGTGCAGGAAAAGCATTTAAGCTGGGAAGGGACCTACCACTTCCCCATGTCACAGGGGCTGGAGGGGTAATGGGGGCTGTTACAGTCTCTGCAGGGGGAACCCTGGCCTGAGACCCCATCCCATCCCTCGGCCACACCACTGGGAATCACACTCTCTCTCTCTCTCTCTCAGCTGGGTTGATCAGAGTGAGGGGTTGTCTCCATGGCTAAGCCCTCAGAGCCGCTCAGGATCCGGTGGCTCTGCAGCTCTCACAGGGTGCAAGAGCCCTGCCTGGGGTGCTGGGGACCCCTCTTACCTGCCCCGTCTCCCTGGTGGCAGAGAGCACCGACAAGGAGCAGAAGTAGCAGCATTCCCGCAGGCTGGCTGGGGGGCCCAGTCACGGCTCTGTTCTAGCCTGGTGCCCTTGATGGAGGAGTTGGGGGGTCCTGGAGTCTGGCAGAGCAATGGCAGGGGCCCCGTGCCTTACGCCTCTGTGCCGAGCTGTGCAGGGGATGTGAATGCAGGGGCAGTGCTGTGGAGCAGTCAGGGCTGTGGGAGGGAGCTGGGGCTGGCAGGGAGGAAGAGGGCGGGAATGTTAGTCCAGCTCTGTTATTGCAGCTCTGTTCCATTTCCGCAGCTGCTGACACGCCTTCTCTGCGAGCCCAGGGCCTGGCTCCCCTCTGCTGTCCCCACAATGTGGCTGGGCTGGACCCTGGAGCTCACATACCCAGGGCTGATGCAAAGGGGGGAGGAAGTATTCCGGGGCCCCGAGCTCTGGAGACCCCTGGAACATATATAATGAGTGAAAAGGGGCCCCAGCAAACATGATGTACCAGCTCCCACCCAGCACCTTCCCCTGCAGGGGGAGTGTTTGTTAACCCCAGCTGCCAGGCCAAGCTCTGATAGGCTGAACAGTGGGCTGGGAGTCAGGACTCCTGGATTCCACTCCCAGGCTCACATTGGGGTGATTGACAAAGGCAGGACTCCTGGGTTCAGCTCCAAGATGTGATGGGGAGTGTGGACTAATGGGTTAGAGCAGGGGGACTGGCAGGCAGGACTCCTGGGTTCTATGCCCACCACGGCTGCTGACTCCTTGTGTGATCTTGGGCAAGTCACTCACCTCTGTGCCTCAGTTTCCCCCTTTGTAGAATGGCTATGGACCCTCCAAGGGGATGTGAGGCACAGGGGTGGGCGCGTGGGCTGGCTATGAACTGCACAGTGATCCCTGGATGGCCTTCTCCAGAGAGGATGGAGAAGTCTGCTCCGTGCTTGAATCTTGGCCATGCTCTGGCTCTGTGCGGAGCACCATGGAGCTGGCTGGCTCAGGAGTCATCCCCTGGAGCAGCCCAGCCCCTCCCTGCCTGTGTCAGGCTGTGTCAGCACAGCTGCTCAGCTCCCTGCGGGCCCCCATCTCCTTTCTGGCCTGGGCCGGGCATTACATTGTTAACCCCTCTGGCACTGAAGGGACAACACAGCCCCTCCTGCAAGGGCAGGGCACGCGGCTGCAGACCCCCGCCCTGGGCACATACAGTTATCCACACACAGGGGGTGACCGGACAAACCGAGGCGCTGCAAGCCGGGTCATTTATGCTGAGCCCTGGGAGAGGACACCGGCTCCCCCTGACCTGGGACAATCGGGATCTTCCCCACATGGTCATTCGGCCCCCTCCCCCCCAATACAGGAGGAGCTGAGGCTGCAGTGCAGGAGGCTGTGGAAACCATTCTCAGCTGCTGGCCACAGGGCTTTAACCCCTACTGCTCCACAGCCCAGGCCTGCTCCTCTCCAAAGGGCCCCGTCATTCCCAGTGGGCTACAAGAAGGGGAGCAATCGGTGAGGACTGGGCTCTGCCCTGGGCTCGCCTCTCTCCCTGGTGATCCTGCTGCTGGCTGGCCCGTTACCGTTTGCTGTGCCATGGGCAGCGCCTGCTCAGAGCTCTGTCAAGATGTGTCATTGCAGCTGGGCCTACAGCATGACTGGTTTTCTGGCCTCGCTCTCCCTGGCTCCCACTCAGCTGTGACCTCCATGGGGATCCCCCTGCCCACCCCACCATTCCAGCAGCCCCTTGCCTGGGGCTAGACCTCCCAGCACTGGTGGGTCAGAAGGAGCCAGCGTCAGCTTTCAGTTACAAAAGCTAAGTTTCTAGCCCTCTGTCATAAACATACAGCTACGGGTAGCATAAAATCCCTCTTTACCCTGTAAAGGGTTAATTCCTCTTTTACCTGTAAAGGTTAAGAAGCTCAGATAACCTGGGTGACACCTGACCAAAAGGACCAATAAGGGGAGAAGATACTTTCAAATCTGTGGGGGAAGGTTTTGGCCTGGGTCTCTCGGAGCCAGCCAAAAGACACGGCAGGGAAATTCCATCTTCTTAAGTATATCTGAACTAAGCATCTAGTCTTGCAGAAATAGTAAATAATAGCAGAAAAGAAATGTGTTAGATTACCTTTTGTTTTAGCTTGTGAATTTCCCTGTGCTAAGAGGGAGGTTTATCCCTGTTTTTGTAACTTTAAGGTTTTACCTAGAGGGGAAATCCTCTGTGTTCTTGAGTCTTTTGTTATTCTGTAAAGTACTTACCATCCTGATTTTACAGAGGTGATTCTTTTACCTTTTCTTTAATTAAAATTCTTCTTTTAAGAACCTGATTGATTTTTCATTGTTCTTAAGATCCAAGGGTTTGGGTCTGTGTTCACCTGTACCAATTGGTGAGGCTATTATTCTCAAGCCTCCACAGGAAAGGGGGTGTAGGGGCTTGGGGGGATATTTGGGGAAGGTAGGGCTCTAAGTGGCCCTCCGTGAATGTTTGTTTAAATCACTTGGTGGTGGCAGCGATACTAAGGCAAGGAAGAATTTGTGCCTTAGGGAAGTTTTTAATCTAAGGCGGTAAAAATAAGCTTAGGGGGTCTTTCATACGGGTCCCCACATCTGTCAGGGTTCCTTCCCCACTCTGAACTCTGGGGTACAGATGTGGGGACCCGCATGAAAGACCCCTTCCCCCCACAGATTTGAAAGTATCTTCTCCCCTTATTGGTCCTTTTGGTCAGGTGTCACCCAGGTTATCTGAGCTTCTTAACCCTTTACAGGTAAAAGAGGAATTAACCCTTTACAGGGTAAAGAGGGATTTTATGCTACCTTTAGCTGTATGTTTATGACACCCTCATAGTTAGGAGAAGAGCCTGAGCATGTGACCCACACGCCCCTCGAGACTCAGCAGCCAGAAGGCAAAGGGAAAGGACACTGTTTATTATTTTGAAGCCAGTCTCATGACTTTGAAGCCTGATTTGTGCTTTGGGAACGCCTGGGATTAGCAATAGAGCTGTCTCCACGGCTGGGGAATGGGGGATTCTGGGGCAGGTTCTACTACCTCTGCGAGGGGGCTTCAAGCTCGCCAGGGAGCTGGGGGGCTGTGACGTCCCCCTCTGGTGTTATCTGGATGGGTGATCTGCTAGGTCACTCCAGTCCTTGACTCTGGGAGCCAGCCTTACCCTGCTCTGCTGTGAGAGCCCCCACTCCTGGGCTGTTCACGCACAGCCTCTGGCACGTAAGCTGCTCCCAGCTACTTGCAAGCGAATGGCACTAGCCAATATCTCCGGTCCCAGACACAACCCTAAGAACCTCCGTCTTGCAGCGTCCAGTTATGCACTGGACGCTGCAAGTTTATATGAGTTTGTCAATTTAACAAAGAAATTGATGTGTACCAGGCTTGTTATCCCGAGGGGAGTCTCTGATACGCTTCAAACCAAACACACTGCTTCAGGTAGAATAAACAAACACATTTATTAACTATGAAAGATAGATTTTAAGTGGTTATAAGTCAAAGCATAACAAGTCGGATTTGGTCAAATGAAATAAAAGAAAAACGCATTCTAAACTGATCTTAATACCTTCAATGCCCTTACAAACTTAGATGCGTCTCACCATAGGCTGGCTGGTTGTGCTTCAGCCAGTCTCTCCCCTTTGATCAGCGCTTCAGTCGCTTGGTGTGGTGTCTGTAGATGTAGGTGGAAGAGAGAGAAAGCATGGCAAACATCTCTCCCTTTTATCATGTCCTTTCTTCCCTCTTGGCTTTGCCCCCCCCCCTTCAGAATCAGGTGAGCATTACCTCATTGCAGTTCCAAACTGACCAAAGAAAGGGGGCTAACTCCCTCTTTTGTTGCTGCCTAGGCCAGTGTCCTTTGTTCCTGTGAGGCTGGGCTGGGTTTGTCCCATACCTGCCCTGATGAGGTGTGAACTGCCTCTCTGTTCTTGGAGAGTATTTCCCTGGGCTTACTTTAAGCCATGAGGATACATTTTCAGCCTTGTAACTATATACATGAAATTATAACCTATAACATTATTGTAACAATTACTATAACATCACTATAACAGCAATGCTCAGTGCATCACGAACCTTCCAAAGACACCTGACATGACAAACTTTGCATTGGATACCCACAATCATTTTACAGGGATGAACATGGCGGGGGGGGGAGGGCTGGGTGTTCCCCCGAGGTACAGAGCGTCACAGGGGCAGAACGGATGTGGGTGCAGAATTGACGGGGAACTGGGGGCCGGACAGATGTGGGAGAAGAACTGACAGGGAGCTGGGGTAGAACAGATGTGGGAGCAGAACTCACGGGGAGCTGTGGGGCAAGACTGATGTGGGTGCAGAACGGACAGGGAGCTGGGGGGCAGAACGAATGTGGGTGCAGAACTGACAGGGAGCTGGGGGGCAGGACAGATGTGGGTGCAGAACTGATGGGGAACTGGGGGGCAGAACGGATGTGGGTGCAGAACAGCTGTGCTATCTCTTTCATATCTGTAGAAAATGGCAGTCACCCCCACTTTTTTCAGACCAGGTCCAGCCCCATGTGGTAGTGCTGAGCCCCAGTGGGAAGAGCTGTATGAAGGAATCCTGGCAAAGCAAAGCAGACAAAGGAAACCCCTAACAGACAGACATGTAGGGGCAGTATGACCAACCCCAAACATTCAAAACCAGGAGACCCCAGGCTGTTCCAGCCACTAAAGCAGAGGTGGGCAAACTACGGCCCGTGGGCCATGTCCAGTCCATCAGACCTTTTAATCTGGCCCTTGAGCTCCCCCTGGGAAGCGGGTTCGGGGGCTTTCTGCGTGGCTCCCGGAAGCAGCGGCATGTACTCCCTCTGGCTCCTACAGGTAAGGTAGGGGCAGCCAGGGGGCTCTGCACGCTGCCCTAGCCCCAAACGCCGCCCCCCACAGCTCTCACTGGCCGGGAACCACGGCCAATGGGAGCTGCAGGGGCGGCGCCCAGGGCCGTCCTTAGGCATACGCAGCATACGCAAATGCATAGGGCATCAAGGAATTTGGGGCACCAAATTGCCCCAAATTTCATGGTGCCCTAGGCAGCTGCATGCTGCATACATGGTAGCACCAGCCCCGGCGACCAGCCCTATCCCTCGGCCGGCCCGCCCTGCAAGGGGCAGGGCCGTCCCTGGGGGGGACCCAGACAACTCCCTCTGCCCTGCCTCTTACCCTTCCCCCCTG